CGGCCCCGCGTCCTCGCCCCCGCCGGGGGCCTGCCCCGCCCCGCCCCCCTCACCCCGCTCTCTGCCTTGCAGGCATGGTGGACAAGCACTCCGTGGAGGTCACCAACTGCTTCTCCGTCCCCCACAACGAGTCCGAGGATGAGGTAGGTCTGGGTCCAGGACTCCAGCTTCCGGCTCCCTGGTCCAGCTCAGCTGCGTGAGCCCCCAGCCCTGCCGCAGGGCTGTGGTGGGAGCAGAGGTGCCCCAGGACCCCCCCGGAGAGCTCTGGGGAAGGTGCTAGTTACCCCTGGTGCAAAGTACTTGGTTGCCGTGGCTGGGAGTAGGGGAAGGCAGCTGGCACCTAGGGGCTTTATGGGCTAATACGGATGGCTGTATCGCTGCTACCGGTCCAGTTGCTGGTATGCTGTCTGGTAGCCTGGAGAGCAGTGTCTGGCTGGTAAGTCTGTTGGGGGGAAGGGGCATGGGGGGGTGCAGATCAAGGCTTCCCACGGTAAGGGAGGGAGTGGTGCTGAGGCTGGGGCAGGCACTGCCCAGCCGAGGTGGAGTGCAGGACAGAGCCAGGGGGTGTGAGGTGAGTGCAGGCTGGGGCCAGGGGCAGTGCTGGGCTCTTCCCAACAGGGAGTTGGGCTGGGGCTGCTCTTGGGGCAGGCAGGGGTGGGGTGGGTGACGACAGCACTGGGAGAGGGGGTTTGGGGTGGGTTGTGACCGCGGTGGAATTCGCTGTAGCTACCCCATAACTCCCCAATCCCCACCGGGAAGAGCCCAGCACCACCCCTGGGTCTAGCCTGCAGCAGCAGCCCACTCACCCTGTGCACAAATAAGGGGGGCTCATGTCCCCATGTCTCCCCCCAGGGGTGCGCACTGTGATGAGCCGCTCCCCACCTTCTTTGGAAGAGCCGTTTGCAACTCTGTCCCGCACCCTGCCTGTGCTGGGTAGTGCCTGCCCCAGCCCCACTCCCCACCTCACCGCAGGGGCCTGGATCTGCGCGTGCACCCACCTCCTCCCCACAACAGACTTACCAGCCAAACTACAATATGGACCAATGTACTGGTGTATCTCTACTGGCAGTACTACTTTGGAACATGCTGTTCTCTTTGTTGTGGAGGTCCTGGCTCTGCCCTGTCCCCCATCTGTGCATGCACCTGGAGCATTTGGACTCCTGAGCAGGCTGGGGAGTGCCCAGTGGTGATGTAGAGTTGCATTAACAGGCCCTGGTGGCAAGTCTGTCCCTTAGTTTGATCACTGCACCACAGTATTTGCTCTACTAGGTCTGGTCTGGTAAAAACCAAGAGATGGGACTCTTCTGTGAGGTGTGGCTGTTATCGTCATTCCCTCCACCTCCATTAAGCTGCCTTTGTTGCTCTTTGCTCAAATGGAAGTGCTCCTGCAGCTGGCAGCTTCATGCTTTTTGCTCTTTTTTTAGGTTGCAGTTGATATGGAGTTTGCCAAGAATATGTACGAGCTGCACAAGAAGGTTTCTCCCAGTGAAATCATCTTGGGGTGGTAAGTGGTCATCCTGTACTCTCTTGCTTGTGTGTCTGGTATCTGGGGTTCCAAAGTGGTCACCCATCCCAATACTAGTCAAGTTCAGGACTCCTTCAGACAAAAATCTGCATTCAGTGTAGCATAGCTGCTGCACAAACCTATTAAACTTCTTGAAACAAAAGCCAATTTGCTGGTTAGCTGGTTGCAGAAGTGCTAGCTGTTAGCTTAAAAGCAAATATTGTTAACATGTATTAAATTTTGAGTGTGAATAACTTTTTTTCAGTTACTTTTTCAGGAGATGTAGTTGGTATAGTATTCTAATTACTATTGTAGTGTTTTGAAGAAGTTGGTTTTGTGGCTGTATATGAATGGTAATAAAACTTTCCTTTCCCCATGGTGGAAAGTTCTTAGACCTCTTGCCTAAGCCTGCTGAAGGGAGAGAATGAAGTACATCTTTGACATTGTTGTCTGTGTTTAGGATAGGGGTGGGCGAAGTACGGCCCGTGAGCTGGATGCGGCCTGTGAGGCCATTCTATTCGGCCCGTGGGGCCCCTAAAAAATTCAGAAAATTAATATTTATCTGCCCTTGGTTCCCGTCAAAAATGACAGGAACCAAGTGCAGTAGGACCCAGGGGAAGCCTGGTGGGCTCTCACAACAACAGGGTCAGCTCAGCCCCACCCCCTGAGCTGGAAGCACCAGTTGGGGCTTCTGGCCTGGGACCACATGGCTGCCCCCGTGGTGCTGGAATCTCAGGTAAGTGGGGGGGGAAGGGCAGGCAAGGAGCCTGGGGAAAAGCTGGGGGGAGGGGAGGAAGCTGCCCCTTGCCCTGCGCTGCAGCCGCTCACAGCCCACGTGGGGCTGCCTGTGCCTGCGCCGGATAGCCCTGCGGCTGTCCAAAGCAGCATGGGCTGCGAGCGCCAGCTACAGGGCGGGTGAGGGGCCACTTCCCTTCATGCTCAGCACCTCCTTGTAACCCAGCCCCACTGCCAGCCTGGGTCCCACACCGGCTCTGGGCTCACCCATCGGGGCTACGTGTGGCGACGTCGGCTGTGGCCCCCCCCGCTTGCCACGCCGGCCAGTGTTTGCCACCGCCCCCTGTGGGCTGCTCAGTGTGTGCCCAGGCGGGCAGTAGCAGCCAAAACTGCCTGGCGTGGCCAGTGGGGAGGCTGCAGCTGTCAACAGGCAAGCCCAGAGCCGGCGCGGAGCCCAGGCTGGCAGCGGGGCTGGGTTACAAGCTGGTGCTGAGTGCAGGGGAAAAGCAGCCCCTCACTTGCCCCATGGCCAGCGCTCCACGCTGTAACTGCTTGCAGCCCATGTGGGGCTGCCTGTGTCTGCTCCAGACAGCCCCACGTGGGCTGGGAGTGTCAGCCATGGGGCGGGCGAGGGGCTGCTTTTTCCCTGCGCTCAGCACCAGCTTCTTCCCTGCCAGCAAGCAGGGGGTTGGAGCTTTGTGCTGCCCCCCACCTGTGTTGAGGGGCACTGAGAGTGAGCGGGTGTGGGAGCCAGCAGGAACACAGGGCCCAGAGCAGGGTGTCAGGAGCGTGGGGCCCCAGCCAGCAGGGGCTCTATGGAGCCGGGCCAGTTTTCCCTTCTCCCTGCTGGTGCAGCCCAGTTTGGCTCCACAGACCCCTGCCAGCCTGTGCCCTGCTTTGGGCCCCACTGCTGCTGGCCCTGGGACATTGTTCCCAAGACATAGGGGCATTGGTCCCAAGATGGTGACCAGGGGCTGGGGCACCTGTCAAGGGGCGGGGCTACCTATGCAGCCCTCAACAGCCTGCCAAAACTGGGTAAGTGGCCCTCCGCCCAAAATAATTGCCTGCCCCTGGTTTAGGACATGGTGCTAGTGATTTTAAACCATTGCGTCAGTAGATAAGTGGCAAGATATACGTATAGTATCTGGGCAGGTTTGCCAGAGGAATGACATGGACATCTGTAATAGTCTGGCTTAAACAAAGAGATTTAAGATGAGATTGTCGTGTTGAAGTTTGGAAGAGTTCAAGGTGTAGCTTTTTAAAATGGCCAATACCTATTCTGGCAAAAATATGCATTGGAATAAGTTTCAACCACCACCAGAAGGTGGGAAAAATAAAACAAGTCTAAATCAGGTGGGTCAAAATTGTTTGGTCCCTTGGGCCAGATCCAGACCCACCTCCAGCAGCGCTGTGAGCCATGTCCAGGAGCCATGGAAGTTAACTCAGGCGTTACTCAGCCTGTTGAACTGCATCCCCAGTGGAGCTCTGTACTGCTGAATTTGACTGTGGGCTCCAGGAGCCCTGCAAACCAGGTGACATGGCTCCATGGGCCATAAGTTTGACACCCTTGTTTAAATGCTATGGTGACTCCAAAATGAAAGATTTGAAAGCAATTTTACTAATTCCTGACATTCTTTATTGTTCTTTGTGATGCTGCTGCTTGGTTATGTATTGCTGTTCCTCCTTTTTGATCAAACGTCTTTGGATCATTGCACAAGTTTTGGAGTCACAGCAGTGGTGCTACTTGACAAGGTAGTCCATTTCTTGTTCCTGGCAAGGTTTGCTGCTTGCTTGCATCACTTTTTTTTACCCTTAAATTGCCAGAATTGTGAAGTTGTGCATAGAATAATTACACCTGTTTTTAGAACAGTTGCCTGCCTTTTTTGCTTGGGTTGGGATGGGTAGTGTAGTTCCTTTAGATGTAAGAGAGAATAGCAGACTCCTAAGGAAACTTTTTCTCAATTTTTTTTGGCTGTTTTTTTTTTTTTCAGTGGCATAAGATTAATTATTTTCTTGTTGGTGGCTAGTGTCACTACTGCATACTAGAAACTGAGTAAAATGAATTTATAAGGAGCGATCCGAGGTTTTGCTGCATAGGTTAGCTACTTGATGACCATTTGGTACACTGGTGTGTCGAGCATAACACTTTGAGAACTGGAGTGCATTATCTACGGTGATTATGGAGGAGGGGCGTTGCTAGATGGCATGGGAAGGAATAATGTAGCCCCAGCGTGTCAAATTCACCCTGTGTCTTGGGTTGGATCCAGACTATGTGGCTCCCTGCCAGTCAGATCTGTGGGGCAAGCTACCCCATGCTGTGACAGAGGCATGTGCCAGCCTTTGCTTGTGCTGAGGGCCATGTTCACCAGGGCCCAGTGGCCTTGGATTCATGCCCCCAAATTCTCTGCCCCCCTTAATAGCCTGGCAGGCTGGATCTGGCTTGTAGTCCCTAGGTTTGACATCCCTATATATAGCAGATATTTCCTGATGCTGTGAGGCCTTCGCCCAGGAGATCAGAAGCTATGTTATTGGGATACCGCATAAGAACAGGCAAAGTATTGCAGAAAACTGCACAACCCTCTGGGAGGGTGGAATTAACTCCGCTAGGTTTCCTGCCTGTAACTTCTGTAAATCAGGCTTGCTTTGTTCCTGAGAACTGGAATGCAAACCCAGACTTCCTTTCTCCTCAGGATGCTGTTGTGGAAGCTACTGTGTTATACACCACATTGAGGTGCAAATTGTAATAAAACATTTTATATGCTTGAGAGGGTAATTACAGAGCAGTTAAAGAAGCTGGATTAATACAGTGTCATCGCTTCGACACTGAGGTGTTGAACGAAAATTTGTCAGTACCTCATACAAGGAAATTGTGTTCATTTGATGTTTTGAACGACTTACCTGGATGGCCTGTCAAAGTCTGCTGCTGGTAAGTGCATCTAAATCTTGAGCGTCTGACAGGAAACTGTAGTGACACCAGGGAGATGTACTAAAGCTTTGTATCTTTGTAGGCTTCAGGCAGTCTTAGTTCTATCTTCAAAGCAGATCACTGTTTTAGGACCCATGTCCCAGTAACCTCTGCAGTGGGAAGTGTTTGGTGCATCAGTCAGTGTCTGATTACTCAAAGTTCTTCTGTTATGTCTTCTAAGGTATGCCACAGGCCATGACATTACGGAACATTCTGTCCTGATCCATGAGTACTACAGTCGGGAGGCACACAGTCCAATCCACCTAACTGTGGACACCAGTCTCCAGAATGGACGTATGAGCATTAAAGCCTATGTCAGGTATTCTGGGGTGAAGAGTCATGCTCTAGGAGGGAGGATTCCTAATGGAATTACCCAGAGGGGACAGATTGGGAAAAGGAGGGATATGGTGCATTGGTTATCCCAGTTAAGGTGGTGTTATTGTCTAATGACTAAAGCAGAGACTGAGCCATGTCTCCTGGGTCTTTTCAAAGATTTAACCTCCACAAGAGTGCGTCTATACTGCTTCTGCTTGCACTACCAATCAGCAAATCAAACCTACCTGCTCCCATTCTACACATGACAAACCGAGAAATGAGGTGGTAATGCTGCCCTACGGGATGGAAATGGCAGAGGCACAGAAGTATTACCTATGCTTTGTGCTTGGATCTATGCAGCTGCTTTCTTCCACTCCATACCTCACTCATGTTTTCGCGCGCTCGGCACATTTCCTCCCATTTTGTAATACTCCATGCTCTTCATGAGAAATTATTTTCACTGCTGATTGTATATTCTTAGGCTGATATTCTTGGGTAGAATTTCTCATGGGCCATCAGTGGTGTGGTCCAGTAGGTAATACTGTTTCCCTGTCCTGTTTTTCCCCTCTCCCCTTCACCTGTTATAATGATGATGCTCCTAATGGAAATAAGTAACTTGCTTGGTCTCTTTTTCTGAGGGAGACCAATCAGACAGCCTTCTTTGGACAGGCTTGTTAGGAGGTGCTATGGTATGTAAGCTTTATTTTTTTTTTCTAGTGCTCCAATGGGGGTCCCTGGTAAAACCATGGGAGTGATGTTTACACCTCTGACAGTGAAATACATTTACTATGACACGGAACGGATAGGAGGTAAGCAAGCCTTCTATTCTTGCTATCCTTCTAACTGGATTTTTTTGGGGCGCTTGACTTATTTGTATTTGGGCTCTTGGTGACCCTAGCTTGCTTGCCTTGGTATTGTGCACAAAAAATGTATCTTGGTATCCCTGCTTTATAAAATAGCAGAGGACTTGTTGCAACACTTTGCAGTTCCTGCTGCTTATGAGATGGTGCTGTTGAGTAAAGTAGCGGCAGGTGGATGGTTAACGGGGGAGGGCGGCACTGATAGAGGGGATATGAGAGATGCATAAAATGAGCTATGGTGGGAAACTGAAGGATAGTAAGGGAAGATGGGAGTTTTAAAAAATTGAAAAAATAATCAAAAAGAAATAAAGTAACATAGGAACGGTGCAAATAGAAAAAGAAGGATCCTATAAATAGAACTGGGAAGACAAGCAGCAATCAAAAGCTTTCACTGGAGGGATAGTAGGTGCATTTTGTTTTGGAATGTCCTCAAATTTTATAATTTTCCCAGACCTTTTCTTTCCATTACTGTCACAATTGGTTTTTTTTGTGGCTGGGTTATCTGCATCAGGGGATCACAAGGAACTACTACCCTAGTTTGCATCAGAGTTGATATAGCAATGGCAAAATAACAGATGCATCAAATTAAGTCATGCATTTCTCTGAATGCTTTTCATCAGTATGTATTACAGATAACTCATGAGACCCCTAAAGCAGAAAAAGACTAGGGAATTATTTCTCTAGACTTGTATTTGATAACTCTGTGTAGATGTCTTTCCTGTTACGAATCAGTTCACAACATTAGGGGGGGAAATGTGCAGAATGGGAACCTGTGCTTGAAAAATTTAAATATTAAAGTCCATGGGGTGTGGCAGATGCCCCAAAAGGGAGGAAGTGTAAGTCACTGAGAAATGGCAAGAATATGTAAAGATTAGGAAAAAAGCAAAAATATGAGATACAAAGGATGATAAAGACAACACAGGAGTCTATAAATAATGGGTCTTAAAATGAAAGATGAAAGAAACCCAAGTCTGCTTTATCTATGGTGAGGATGAGCTGTATTAATGGAAGATGCAAAGGCAGAGCTGCTGACTAATTTGTCTTGGTCTTAATAAAAAACCCCTCCAAACAACTAACAAAATTCAGTATAAAAAAAAGAGATGTAGTTTGCAACTAAAGATGGTTTTGGAGAGCTTTTGACTAATTTGAATGGATTTAAGGCGGCAGGGCCTGATGAAGGTTCATCCTAGAGTGCTAGAGGAACTAGCTGAAGAAACCTGTGCAGTAACATTTGCAAAGTCATAGATGACAGGCAAGGTCCCAGAGCCCTTGAAAATGCCTAATGTGGTGACCATCTTTAAAAGGGGATAGAGGTAAAATTTGCTCCATAGAGGATGGACCACTCGGCTAGATTTCAATACCTGGGAAGCTGTTGGAGCATATTTTAAGAGTTGGTTTGAAGACATCTGGAGGAGAAAAAGATGACCACCCTTTCAGTCAACATGTTCTCCTGCCACAGACGGCTTAAATTGCAGCAAAGCAGATTTAGACTAAATCTCAGGAAACAATCATTAACTGTAAGAACAGTAGAATAGTGGGGCAAACTCTGGGAATTTGTAGTTTCCTTAAATGTTTCCTTAAATGGAGGCTGGATAGACATCAGTCTAGGATAGCTTTGGAATAGCACAACCCTGCAGAGGGACCTTCAAGGTCCCCTCCCACCTGATGATTCTGTGAGTGTAATACCTGGAACTGCTACTAGCTCTTAAGAACTGACTAGATTTCTCACAAACTAGGACGGTATGAGTCACGAGGTTTGCAAAAGTAAACTTGCAAACTTCTGATTACTGCATGCAAAAAGTGACTGGGGGTATGTTAAAGAGAGCATTAGAATGCCTTGGTGGAGAGCGAGTTTCACAGTGAAGCTGTAATTGTGGTTTAGTTTAAACTACAGACTTTTTGTGGGATAGCTACATCTGTACAAGAAGATCTGCCAAAACAGCTATGTCAACAAAAGAACAGTTTTTGCCAGCTTGGCTGCACCACTTCTCCAGATAATAGCTTCTGTTGACAAGTGCTGTGTCTACACTAGGGAGTTTTGCCAGCAAAGCTGTATTGAGAGAGACTCAGAAGTGTATGTAAGCCTTATATTCAGTGCCATGAGGACAGTAATGTCCTTGCTTGGCTTTGGAACAAGGAAGCCCAGCACAGTGGTAACAAATTATCCATTGCTGTCCCTATAGCTAATATGACCCCATTGAAATGTCAGAATGACCATGGAAATGAATGCAACACTAGGGGAGCATCAAATGGTGTATTGTTTGCAGTAGCTGATGCCATCCTAGAAATCTTTGGGAGTGGTTGTGGTTTAAGTTACCTTTGTGGAAGCCAGCTCCTCAATGTCTTGTGCTTTCAGTTGATCTCATCATGAAGACCTGTTTCAGCCCTAATAGAGTGATTGGTTTATCCAGTGACTTGCAGCAGGTGGGGTCAGCATCAGCTCGGATCCAGGATACACTGGGTATGGTGCTGCAGTATGCAGAAGATGTGCTGGTAAGGCTACCATCAGTACCTATTGGTTATGCACTTGTTATTTGCAACTGCTTGTTGAATCTTGCTGATTGTAAAATATGTCTCTTATTTTTGTGGTTAGTCTGGGAAAGTGTCTGCTGACAACACAGTTGGGCGTTTCTTAATGGATCTTATTAACCAGGTGCCTAAGATTTCACCAGAGGACTTTGAGACAATGTTGAACAGCAATATCAATGTAAGTCCTGTTACAAAATTCACCTGGTTGTTTCATAAATGCAGGAAACATTTCTTTGTATGAGGAAATTCTTGGGTCTGCAGGGACTCTGTCTTGAGTCAAGAATGACAGGAAGTATGTTTCCCTAGCCATCAGTTGGGGGTGGGGAAAAGCTCTGATCTCCTAGTGCCCCTCCTTTCTCTCCCCCAAAAGCCACATAGCAGTAGAAAACATATTAACCAAGTTTTCCATTTAATTTTAGACTTATCCCTTATAGTGCGAGGCTTGAATGTTAAGACTAAAACCATCAAGACAGTGTAATTTTGCATTTGACACCATTCTATGCCATCAGGCATCATTTTAAGGTGTGAACAAAGCTCTGCAATGTCTAGCAATCATACCAAGTGCCAGAATGGTTAACTCATTGATCCATTGTAGAACAGTGGCACAAAACCTCTGGCCCTGCCAGCTGGATGAATTGGTGCAGTATTGGAGTGGAGAGGCTTCTGCATGTGGGGTTTGTCTGTGAGCCTGATTCAATATGGAGTTGGCCTGCTGGGTTGGACCGGTGCACCCACTGCATGACCCTATGCTCCAGCCTGACCTGGCACATGAGATTGTGTTGCAGCACCCCCACCACAGGTCCAGAAATTTGGCTGTGGGAGAGCATGAATATCTGTGGCTCTGAGCAATTAACACTACTACTGTACCACTGCTTTAAAGTGGCTTTTTACATGGCTGCAGTCTTGTTTGTATTGCTTGGCTCCCAGTATGGGCGGACCTGTGATCTCTTCAGCTTGTATTGTACTACCTCAACTTAATTCCCACAGGCATAATTTTGAGGTGACTGGAATCCGCAAGCCTGCTTACCACTCTCAGTGCAGTCTTTAGGGAAGGATTTAAAGAATGGTACCAAGTAGTTACACTGCTCGTAAACTGCTTAATGACATTAAACATTCTCTTTGGTATCACCACCAATTTCTCTTTGGTATCACCACCACATGTCTACTTCATGATTGTTTTAATCAGTCTTATAACTTTTTCTTTGTCTTTCTCAGGATCTGCTGATGGTGACCTATTTGGCAAACCTCACACAGTCTCAGATTGCTCTCAATGAAAAGCTCCTGAGCTTGTAACAAACGGGCTCTCTAACCATCTCACGATTGGCTGAGAGCTGGAAGATACAGCAGAGATCTCCTGCGGTGTTTCGCTACTGAATTTATTTGGACCATAATTTAATTGCGTAAATGACTTAATTATCCATGTCCTTCCCAACTCTCCTGAAAATATGAGACTGGTTCAAATTAAAAAAAAAAAAGAAGAAAGTGGCCACATCTTAACTGAACCTATTACTTAAAGTGGAATTGGTTCCTCTGCAGTGATGTGAGCTGCTGTCACTCATTTATATAAAAACACAACTCTTTTTATTGTAAGGATGCATTGGTTCTAAATAAAAAGTCCCATTCCACTGGTAATTTTTTCTTCTTTTTCTTTGTTTTTTGTCCACAAATGCTGCTGCTTCCGAAATTTTAATGAATGTCCTTTTTTAAATAAAAAAGCTGGTCTCAGTAGAGGAATCTAAGAGCTTGAAGTGGTCCTGTGTGTTTTGTTAGGCCAGTGATATTCCACCAGTGTTGTGGAACCTTGGGATGCCTTGACATTCTTGCAAGGGTGTGACTGGGTGCCCAGCAATGTTGGCAGTATTAAGTGTGAAATCATGATTCACAAAATAAATTCAGAGATTTCAAGCAGGAATCCATAGTGTTAAAAACATTCTGACCTCTTGTGTTCTTTCCGAGTTCTTTGCAACAGAGGAGTTGCTCTGTTACAACTTTTTTTTGTAGTTAAAAATGAATGAAAACTAAGAGCTGGCATTTTCTAATAATACATCTGGTACAAGAAGGGTGAGAAGTATTGTAGTAGACCCTAAAAGGAAAGTAAGGCTGGAAGGGACCTTATGAGGTCATTTAACTAGCCCTCTGTTCAAGGCAGGATCAGCCTGACTAAGCCGTCCAGTCTGTCCAACCTACTCTTGAAAATTTCCAAGGATGAGGTTTCCACAGGTGTGTGGGGTTTTTTTTTTTGGTTTTTTTTTGGGGGGGGTTTTTTTTTTTTTTAGGTAGCTTGTTCCAATGTTTGACTATGCTTTTACTTGGAAAGTTCTTTTCCTCTTCTTAAACCTCCAACCTAAACTTCCTCTGCTACAGTTTGAGGCCAGTTTCTGGGGCTGTAGGGAACAGAACTAGAAACTCATTTCCATCCTATAATCACTAGGGCTGTGTGAAATTTTGCCAGGTGTTTTGTTCCGAAGCTGTTTTGATGTGTGTTGAGCTTGAAATGGCAAAATGGAAACAAAACAAAAGGCTTCAAAACAAAAGAAGGGCACTTGAAATGCTTTGAGTTTGAAGCCAGGTTTACTTGGCTTCAGCGCCAGTCCCAGGCAGCAACAGCAGCCTCCTGTCATGTGGTGTGCAGAGCTGGGGGCTTGCATCCCCAGGTGGAAATTGCAGGGGTCGTAGCCCCTTCTGAGGGCATGAGCCTGCCAAGTGTCAGGACTCCTCCTGGGGGTGCGGGTCCCTGGATCTGAGCCAGATGGCAGGAGGCTGAGGCTGCTGCCTGGGACGGGCAGTGGGTGCAGCCTGCACCCAGTGCCGGGGAAGACTGCTGCTGCCACCAATCATCCAGCATGCAGATCTGGAGGCTTGCACCTCCGGGAGGAGTATGGCACAGCCCCGCAGCCCTCCCTGGGGTGCAAGCTCCCAGATCTGTGCACTGCATGACAGGAGGCTGCCACTGCCAGCAAGTTTCAGGACTTTTGGTTTGATCACTTTGGCGGTGCAGTTTCCCAGAAACCTCTGCGCCTATCGACTTGACACTTGGAAGGCTGCACCCCTGTGATTTTCATCAAATCAGGCAAGAAATGACCAAGTTTTAGGCAGTTTCGCGATTCCCCATTCTAGCCTATGGGTGAAATGTCAAAACTCATCAAAACAGAGAAACCGTTTTCAACAAAATGAAACGGAACAGTGCTTCAAAATGAATGAAATGAAACTGTCCCTTCAAATGGCAAAACAGATGTCGAAACAAAATAATGGTATTTTGCACAGCCCTACTACTCACTCTTCAGGTATTTCAAGAATGTTATCAAATCCCCCTTCATCTTCTCCAGACTAAATAACCCTACTTCTTTCAGCCTTTCCCCCTAAGTGTTGCTTCACTTAAGTCATGGACTTTGCTCTCTTTCAGCTTTTCAGTTAAGCATGTACAAGTGTGTAACACCATAAGCAGTTATTTGGGGAAGGTACTTTTTCTTCAGGGCTATGATCGTTCCATCATCCTGGAGTCCTGAACATCTTGTGTTGAAAACTAGGGGTGCACCAATAGATTTTGGGGGCTGATACCAATAGCCAATATTTAAGGAGGCATATCAGCTGATTACAATCCGATACAGCTGCCATCAGCTGGTAAGTCCATTGTGGTGGAAGGAGAGGGGGGAGGGAAAGGGCATGGGGGGATAGATCAATGCCTGCTGTGGTGAGGGACGGGGCAGGAACAGGCACTGTCCAGCCGGGGCAGAGTACACGGGGTGAAGGCATGGCTTATGGGGTGGAGGCAGCTCCTGCCACTGCTTGTACCCCAGGAGGACAGGGGCAGGGGGTAGTGCATGCTCCTGGACCTGCACAGTGTGGGGCGGGTGGCAGCTATGGGGTGAAGCCGGAGTCAGCATTGCATGGCTCTTCTTGCTGGTGGCTGGGCTTGGAGCGGGCTCTGGCAGTGCTGGGAGGAGGCTGCAGCTACCCCAAATTTCACTGCAGCTCCACTCCCAGCCCCACACTGCTGCCTGGTACAGCCCTAGCTGAATGCCCCATCTCCACCCAAGCACCAGAAAAATCCAGGGTTGTGGCAGCTGGCAGCGCGGGGCTGGTAATGGAGCTGCAGCAAAATTTGGGGTGTCTGCAGCCTCCTCCCAGTGCTGCCGGAACCTGCTCCAAGCCAAGCCCCCGGCGAGAAGAGCCATGCAGCACCGGCTCTGGCTCCACCCCGCATCTGCAGCCCGTCCCATGCTGTACTGTGCAGATCTGGGGGCCATGCCCCACCCCACCACCTACAGTGCAAGGAGCAGCAGGACCTTCCCCCACATAATGAGCTACAGCTCTGTCCTGCACCCCAGCTGGACAGTGCCTGCCTCTGCCCTCTCCCTCACCCACAGGGGCATTGATTTGTCCCCTCCATGCCCCTTTCCTCTCCCGTCCCCTTCTGACTTACCAGCTGGAGGCAGCTCTCCACACTGCCAGCTCTGCTCCATGCTGTGCTGTGGCTGTACACAGCACATACATTTATTGGCCAATCTCCAATATAGACAATTTTCTTCATATCAATACCTATCTGATATTGGACCAATGTATCAGTGCACTTCTATTGAAAATCCATCCGCATCACACCCTTTTAATACCTTGAATGGTACTGAGCACTTTCTCTCTCGTAGATTAGATTGTCCATGCTGTTTGAAATCCAACCTTCCACATTGCTTCAATTTATATCTCCTTAACAGATTCTAAATGTGGTTTCTAATGGATATTAAAGAATCTTCTTTACACAGAAGCAACTAAATTCTTCTGATGTGGATGATGATCTGAAATACATTCTAATATCTTCACTAAAGTGGCTCTGCTGCCATTATCTGATACACAGTATTTAAATAGGCTTGTCAGTACTGGAACAGCTATTCTCTCAATAGTGGATTGTTTCTCAATAGTCAGTGAATTTTCCTAGCTACTGCCTCAACATGATTCTCTTGAAGGAGACGTTAAGAATCTTTGTTCCTCCAGGTACTTAACTATGTTGAAAATGGAATTCACTGTTGTATCCAGTGTTGATTGTAATGGTTTATTCCCTTGGTATACTGTGCTGGGGAGTTGAGTTGAAGAGGAGTGTGTAAAATGATATACCTACTGCCTTTAACTAAGTTTCTTCCAGGAATGTAACCTAATAATTCAACCTTGACACAGTGCTTTGCAGCTTGAGTGAAACACCCCCTGCTGTACAAAGCAATATTAAAAACTTCTTGGCTCTTTTTTTCTGTAAGCATGGTAATTTGGCAGTCTGTTGTTTAACAAGCACACAGGTGTTTTGTGTAGCAAGACTGTGCTTGTGAATGCATTGCCTGTGGGGGGCCCCCCCACCTGCCGCACTCAGACTTACCTGGAGGGAGCTGCAGGAGCTGCTCTCCACCACCCTGCCTGGTGGCCACATGCATGTGCATGCACATGGCACCCCCTGCCCTCTATGTCCCACTCCGCCCCTCCCCAAGCATCCAGCCTGCAAGGGATAACCCACCGTTTCCTGCATTTTTCTCCTTCAGAGGGTAAAATCCAGATCCCTATCATTCATACTTTCCATGTTATGTGAGCCCAGGCAAATGGATCAAGATTCACTGTCAGCACCCACTCTGGCATAATACTGACTTTTGTTAAAATGGATTTCATTTCTCTCTTCCTTTTCACAACTAGAAGCAAGTTAAAAAACACTGGCAAGTTCTGCTTTAAGTCAAACTATTTTGCAACTGGTCTTGAAATGACTGAACTGAAGTCTGGCAGGATGGCTGGTGTATGTACTTGCAAGAATTTGCATACAGTCGTTACATTCTACACTAGTGCTTCCCAAACTTCTCCTCAGCATGACCACATTTCCTCAGCATGGCCCCTCACTCCCCACCCACAGCTCCCTGGCCCTGCTGGTGCCCCTCTCAGTCCACAGCCCCCCACTCTCTCTACATGCCCCAGGACCAGAGTCTCTCCATTTCCAAGAACATTCTTATAGTCTTATTCAAGTTGAATTCATCTTTCTTGAGCATAGGTGAACAGAATTGTACACAGGAGTTCAGATGAGGTCTTAGTGCTTAATAAAATGGCATTAATGTGTGGCTATTTCACCTAAAAATAGCTTGCCTGAGACAGGGTAGTTGTATTTGCCTTTTTCACAGGTTTATCCCAGTGGTGTCTCCGTCATCCTGTGATTGACTAATACATCCACATCATTCTCCTTCTGACACTTCCAAATGATTATTTTCCATCTTATAGCAGAAGTTTTTATTACTTCCATAGTACAGGATCTTGCACCACTGAATTTCATCTATTTTTTAATACAGTCTGTAAGGTTATCCAATTCATTCTGAATGCAGTTTTGATCCTTCTGTATTGCTGATGCTTGCCTCTAATTTTCTGCCAGCAAAACTGACTGGCATACTGCTGCTGCACCCACTGCGAGCCCATATTGAACTTCTATTCCCTTTACCTTGTCTTTATTCTTTCATTCACATCTGTTCTAAGCACTGAATGCTATAAAAGTCGGCCAAATGACTGTTATCTAGATCATTTCCTCCTCTATTAATTATAGGTTCTATGCTTGCTATCTCTCTAAGGTGGTCCTAAATGATTGAATTCATAGATGCATTAAAAATCCTTGTTATTGGACTTCATTTGCTAGTACTTTTAGTATACTGGGATAGAGATTGAGATCCACTTCCCACCTGACTTGAGAATATTAAGCTCCTCTATGGAATTATCATGACTCTGCTCTAAA